TAAAGCGTGCTTTGCATACATCTGGGATGGAAGAGCAGGGAGAACAGGAAAATTTGCAAGACTGTCAAAGTGGGTGAAAACATAAACTGTGATGTTTGAAAGTGCACCTGATTCTCCTGCAGAAGGATTCAGACAGACAGACAGGGGATGCATGACCATGACTGAAGGCTTTCAAGAATTTTTTTACTCAAACATGTGATTAAGACCGTCTTTGCCTGTATTAAAAAGCAGCCCCAAAGTCAACTGTATTTCTCCTAAACTGTATAGTATTTGAGATAGTGTGGTGGGTTTTTTTGTTGTGGTTTTTTTTTTTTTTGTTTTAAATGAAATAAGATTTCTAATCTTGTGGCAGGAACTTTGTATTCACTGTACCACACTAAACCTGTATCCATTGGCTGGTGCCTATAAATATCTGTTTTGTTCAGAGACAGGTAAAAATTGCATGTAGTGTCTGGAAGCAAATGTGAGAAGGGAATTCCTTCTGAACTCACATGGTTTATCATTTTTACTGCTTTGAGGCACATGGGTTGATTATGCATGTCGTCTTGATTTTTTGCAGAAACAGTGGTTGTGTTTGAAGTACTATGTTTGACTCGGAAGCTAATATATTTGGTATTTAAGAATCTGGCAGGAGAAAGCTCTGTCCCCATGTGCATGCATAGAAATGAGACTGGGATGTAGGCATGCGTAACTGTTATTTTCCCCCGTCTGTCCTATCCCTAGAAAGCCATATGCCACCCTTAGGCTAGCATAATGGGAGACTATATTAATGATTATGAGCTAGAAATAATCCAAGAAGAGTTGAGTGGCCTTTGATTCTTCTAGCTTTATGAGAAAATACCTCATTGACTCAGTAGGGTCTGAAATATGTTCTGGGATAGAAAGTCGTAATTAATACAGAATTCCATGATGCCCTTTCTTGAGCTGTTGGGTGGTTTTTTTTTTTTTCTAGATTGGTCAGGGACTTGCTAAATCTTGTGTCTAACAGGCAGAGTAGGAATTTAAGCAAGGAGGTAAAAATTTGGAGGGAGTTGTTGACTCACCTGCTATCAGAAATAAGCATCTTGAGCATAGATCTCTAGAGAGCCTACGCTCTGCAAGATTTCTATAGATGTTGAATGCCTTGTCTGTTGGCAGCCTACAAAATGAAAACTATGTATGTATGCATGTATAGAAGTGGTGATGGGAAAAGGAGAATGTGGGAATGGGCTGAAGTATTAAAGCAAGCAATGAAAGCAGATGGTTTACTTTGGATTTTATAAAATAGGTTTCTCTTTATTTTGTTTTAAATGAAAACTATCAGCTGTGAGCATTGCAAACCTATTTGCAGCAATGCCATAAGTATTAGAAGTGCAGTTGTCCCTGAATCATAAAAGGACAGAGGGTTTTTCTGCTGCTTCCCATCTTCATGTTTATAAAATTGTGTATGCTCTGTATACATTAGAGTTGAGCAATTTCATCACAGCCTTTCCTCAACATTGATTGCTGTTCAGTGTCTCTTCCTGCTGCTTCTCCCTTGTCAGTTGGTTACATCTCTGACTCTCATTACGTTTAATATTGATACTGCCTCAATTTTCCACTAAACTGGAAGCGTTTAAAGGTCTGGAGTGGATACTGAATGTCTAGATACATTCTTTAAATGCTTTAATTCCTATCATCGTGGAAAAGTTTAGCGCTGGATTATTGCCTTAAGAAGAAATGACTCTTTGCTCATTCAGTGATGAAGTCTGGTCATCAAGATGTTAGAATATGTGCTGCAGAGCTCTTCAGATACTGACATGAGTGCAAAAGTTGGTGCCAGCAGCTGTTTTAGGTTTTGGGCACCTGCTGCCTCTCATTTCTCGCATCTCCCACTCGATCTTCCACTTCCAAAGTTGGCAGTGCCCCTAAAAATACTCCCTTTTTTGGTAGGAGATCTCTACCAAGCTGGTAGTGTGGATTCCCGAGTCACTGGTCATGCTGTAGTGAAATTAGTCATATGGCAGAGTTGTTGACTCTGGCAAGGTAACGGACGCTTACTGTGCGGGTGGGGAGGCCCTGGCACAGGCTGCCCAGAGAAGCTGTGGCTGCCCCCTCCCTGGAAGGGTTCAAGGCCAGGTTGGACGGGGCTTTGGGCAACCTGGGCTGGTGGAAGGTGGCCTTGCCTGTGGCGGGGGGTATGATCTTTAAGGTCCTTTCCAAACCAGACCATTCTGTGATGAAGTGATCTAGGTGAAGCTGGTTCCAAGCAGGTTAGAAAGGCAGTGTCCCTCCTAAGGCCACTGTTCTGTCATGCTGATCCCTTCGTCCTTCACTGCCAGTTGCTGAACTGTGGTTTGATTGCTCACTGCCATTTTTGCATTTGCCCAGGCCATGGCAGACATGAGTGATGTGTCTGTTATGGCAGTTATGTATGGGTGATGTGTGGTGTATGAGTTTGGAAAGTGTGAGTATGGAAAAGATGATGGAAACTGTCCGTATGTAGGAAATACCAATTTGGTAGTGTGTTCTTGATTGCACTGGAAGTTGGGACATATGGGAAAGCATCTCCTGTGTGAATAATCAGTGTTCAAATATGAAATTTTCAGAAGCATGAATGCATTACAGATGTAGTTCCCATATCTAGACAGAGTTTTCTCCGAGCTGACTGTGTCGTCTTTTCCCCCTGTATAAGTACTTAGGATAGAGGTTGTCAGTTTGGCCTGAGATCCTGTTTCCATAACCTTCTGCTTCTGATACAGCCAGGAAGGCTACTTGTAAGAGGAATGAACCCTCCTTTTAGCAGAAGAGTTCAGCAGTATTGGCCAAGGGTGCTAAAAGATGGCTTGTGTCCCAGGGCTGGGATTTTATAGCTCACAAGCCCCCAGCTGGGAGGTGGAAGTGAAACTCAGTTAGGAAGCAAGGAACCCAGATGTTGTTCATTTCTTAAACAGTTTACTTAAACTTTGAAAATATTAGAGGACATGCTGTGTCTTTTATTATCAGGCAAAGCTGGTAAATGCAGGTCGGCAAAGAGATCTTGGCATGTGCTTAGGAGGCAGGAAAACTTAAACCAGTAGGCCTCTTAAGTCTTCTGTTCTGTATGATTTTATTATTTTTTAGTCTATGCTTCACTCCAAATGTAGTTATTTTTTTCCCGACACAGCAATATGTCCTACTACATCTACACCTGTTTCAATTTTCCTATTTCTGTTCAGTGGAGTGTATCTCTTCTTGGAGTAATAATTTTCCCCCCCTCTTGAAAGGTGACAGAATTAAAGCCTTTGTCAGTACCAGCAGAAGAGATGCCCTGTGACTGGCGACAGCGTTATCTTTCCTAAAACTGTAATTCTGCTATTGTGCATTGTATCTTACGGGGGTATGCGAGGGACCGCCTCTTGGTGATAGGGCTGGGTCCTTCTCCTTGCGCTCTTCTCAGCAACTGTCCAGTGCCACTGAGTACCTCGTGTTCATTTTGTCATGCAAGCGTTTGTCTACCAGGAATGTGACAGTTAATGGTTTAGGCACCCCAGGGGTGACAGATGGAAATCCAGTAAAGAGTTACTGGTGTGCATGACCTACCTGCTGAAATAATAACATGCACCATAAAGAGCCCTGTGTTCCTCCTGTCCATCTGCTGAGGATAGACAGTCTTGCGGTTGCTAAAATGTAAAAACAAAACTAAGCACATCTGTCCTGACTGTAAAAATCAGTAAGAAGAAAAATGTTATTCAAATCGGGCTTTTGTCAAGATCAGTCGGCGATTACCAGTGAGCACCTGTTGCGTGTTGGTTGGTTCCGCTGAGGGCTCGATGCCGCTGTGTCAAACCCGCCTGCAGAATGGGGGCAGTTGGCTTCCCCCAGCTGAACTGTAGATGTCCAGTTCCAGCCCTCTCAGCTGCTGCAGAGGATGAGGATGGATGGCACGCGTAGCTGGCCCACGTAGCATCATCCCTCCGTTACCTGAAGTAGTCACTCTGTGCCATTAAAACGATGGCAGATCCCATAAACATATTGCACTCCACCGTCTGCTCCCTCTGGCACTGAACTATGACCAAGAGGAAAGTTCCTCCTGCCCTGTCAACTCCCCTCAAATAAATAATCATCATAAAAAAGACCAGCCTTTCTGAAGTTCCTGCTTAGCCAATGTGCTGCTGATAGAATGTAGCCCTGAGAGGCAGGGAAGGCTCGTAGCCCTTGACAACAGATGAGAGCTGTGGCTGCCTCATAAATGCCTTGGCTTCAGAAGGAGGTGGTTATGGGCATGAAATGTTTATCATCTTGTACTTGCTTTGCTGCTGCTGGGTTACTCTGTAAGTAAAAAGTAGTAATAAGCAAAGAAGAGGTGATACTGCAGCCTGCTTCATCTTCTTGACTTTATACTTGGATGGGCTTGCCAGCGAAAGGAGGAGCAGGTGAAGGCAGCTGGGCTCGGGACTCTGCGCTAGGGCTGTGCTCAGCTGCCTGGGAAGGGGGATCTGGTTGGAAATCTCATCACTCAGCTGCCTTTCTGTTAGGAAGCACTCTTTGAAATTGTCTCGTAAAGAAGTTGTGTAAGGTCAGCTTGTGTATTCGAAAATGCCCTTGCAAAAGGAGACGAACTGCAGGTGATTTGGAAGCAGCGTGGTCGTTGGGCACCTGCTTTTGAGTGTGCCCGGCACTGCCACATTCATGGGTGCACGCTGTGGGCATCAGCATGTGTGCACCACTGTGCAGCACCTTCCACGACTCCTGGAAAGGGGCTGTGTCACAGCTGCCTGTGCTTAGCTTCCACCTTCCAGGGGGATACCGCAGCAATCTTTGGGGGCTTTGCTTTGTTTTTATTTTTGGGGGTGCATGCGCTTCTGTTTTGCTTTAATAGCACAGTTCCCAACAGGGGACAGCGCTGCACTGCTTAAGATGCTTGCCATTTTTAAGGAACTTTTAAAAACTTGTCATCCTAAAAGCTATATTGTGCAGCAGCAGGCGGCCTCCATAAATCACTGATTTCTCTTTTTCTTCTCTTTCCCTTCCTTTCTCTCTTGCACTCGCTTTATTCCAAGCCTGCGGATTTGGACGCCTGGGTAAGCTCTCTTTTTTTGTCTGGATCTTGCTTATTCCAAGTGTCATGTTGTTACTGCGCACGTACAGATTGTTATTGCTGAGCACAGATGCAGGATTTTATTTTCTGTCATTACATTTTAAAAGGTGTTCAGCTAGAAAATTGCATATTATTTCCTCCATAAAGATTTTCACTGGTTCCTTTTGTGTAGCTTACAGCTGCTGAAACCAAACTTGATCTGGTGATGTGTGTTGTTGGCTAAGAGAGTAGCAGAAACAGGAGGAAATGAAGGTTACACCAGTACTGCTTTTTAAGGCCCCGAGTCTGCATCTGGGTTCTAAAACAAAGCAAAACCCAGTTACCTGCCTTCGGCAGAATGAGATAAAGGACAAACAGCAAGCGATTTTTGTAGGCCTTGCGTGTGTGGAAGAGTGACTGCAGGCAGCTCTGCAGTAGTGGTGATATTTCTGCTGGTACTAGTGGAGGTTGAGTCAAGGCTCCCCCATGGTTACTTGTCCGGTACAAGCTTCCCTGTAAAGTTCTGCTGTTCAGTCTCAGGCATGATGTGCACAAGCTGCCTCTTGCTGTTTCAGTGTTGCCCTTTCAGCTCTGCTGTTCCCTTCAGGCTTGGTGAGGAACATGCCAGCTAGCTAATTTTGGAACTAGTTCTGTTCTTCAGTGCATTGCTGTCAATTCCTTCTTCTAGTCTTGGAGCCTTTAATAGCATTTGTTTTTCTCCTCTGCCACCTGGACTGCTACCAGGACTGGAAGAGACATGGGAAAGCATGAGGTATAAGAATTTGCAGTTGTGAAGTGTGGCAAGCTGAGGTACCCAGCCAAAACATCTCTGCTGTGCTGCTGCAGAGATGTCACTGGATACCTGTGGGGGAAGCTGATAACTCCTCTCGGCAAAGACAGGATGATGTAGAAACAAGCCATTTGGTAGAGACTTAAGGACCTTTCCTTTATCCTTGTAGCTTCTTTCTCTGGATTGCCTCCGACTGATTCTCTAGGCGTCATCTCACTAGTTCGTCTGTGACTGGTGAATGTGTTTTGCCAAGAAGATAAATATTTTTGCAATAATCTTGCCAAGTGCTGTGACTTGCCTGTGAGGAAGTTCTTTATAGATCGAGGTATGGACCTTTCCTTCTAGCTTGACTTGCCCTTTGCAGAGAGGGGTGTGTTTTTTTGTTGTTTGTTTTTTTTTTTTTTCTCCAGTAGAGTATTCTCCATGCCCTCTCCCCAAATCCCACAATCCCAGCAACAGGGAGAGACAAGCCTGATGGTAGCCGTCAGCAGTGGGCTGTGCTATTGCTGCACTTTATTCCCGGGTGCCACATTCCCTACTGTAATCTGACTCTGCCAAGAAGCCCTTTTTTTTTTTTTTTTAAGCACATTTCCTTCCTAGTTTTCATGTTTAACAAGGTGATGAGAAGGGACTGTGATTAAAAATAATAAAAATCTGGTGGTATTTTGTGGGGGGCGAAGCCAAAGCAGATCTGCGAATGGCTGTAGCTCGAGTGCAGCCTGGCTCTGGAAGATCAGTTGCGCAGTCTGATGTGTTGCAGGTTGGTGTCACTTCAGGACGAGGCTGAGTATCTGGCTTTGTTCATAGAGAATGAACCTATAATATTTCATTACCTCAATTAAGAGGCTTGTAAAATATTTCTTTTGGCCTGCCTGTCAGCTAGCAGGCCAGCGCTTGAATTCCTTAGTTGAGCCAGTATGTAATGCATAGCTTTAGAAATGTGCTTTCACAGTTTGTTTCTAAATGAGTTCCTTGATAAAGGGAGGGGAGGAGGCAGGGAATTGCACATGACTCTGCCCTAGCTCTTTGTCACTGTTCAAAGCAGCACTGAGATAACCTGAAAAACTTCAGGCGGTGGAAAAAGTGTAAAGTAAAACGTAAGGAAGAGTTTGAAAAGGCCCCCAACCCAGCCCATGGATCCATGCCCGTGGAAGCTGTAGCAGCATGCTGGTAGTATACCTTCACTGTCCCTTCGTAAGAATGCAATGCTGGTAACTTCTGACACAGCACAGGGAATTCCTGAGCATTGCCTGAATATATCGTACACCTGGGTTTTGTACAGAGGGCAGTTGCCTGTTGCATACATTCTCTTTTGCAAGTACACACTGTCCCATGCTACTTTTCTAAGTTTTGGGTACATTTGTGTGTTCTACAACTAACGATGCTCTTCTTCCCCTCCCTCTGTTTTGTTTCTGTTTTCACACTTCTTGGACATCACACTCCTCTGTGTTCTACACTGCAGTTTCTTAGATGTCATCTCTGAGCTTTGGTCATCTCTTACGTGATATGTTCAAGCTCAGATGTAGCTTCTGCAGCGTGGATGTAAAATGCAACTTTCTGATACGTGATTTTCAAACCATTCTGTTATCACGCATGTCTTCCCTTCTTCCTTCCTTCCTTCGTTCTAAAGGCCTTTATGTGAAAAGTCTATCTGACGCTTTGTTTGGCACCTGCAATCTCAATCCCCTGTGAAATTATAAACATCTCCACAGCAGCCAGTTCTGTCTGGGACATCACAGGCTTCTGACTTCAGGTAGGGAATAAGCAGCAGGAGTAGAGGAACTCTTAATAAATATCCTGTATTCATACAAAATGTCCCTTGTTGCCTAACCCAGTTTGGAACAGCGAATATTTCAAATGACACATGCTCTGACTGTACCATTCATACTTCAAACATCATCATAAAGTGTTCTAAAGTTTCTAGTAATAACAGCTGGGGATAGAGGGAAACAGAAAGTAACTTTCAAGCAGATCTGTCACAAATAGAATGTTTCTCTGTATTTCAATGCACTGAAACATCAGCAGCTCTTGAAAACAAGCAAGGCACTGAAAATATGTTTGAGTTGTGAGTAGAAGTTTTGTGTGCAGCCTCTGGTTCATCCTGCAGTTTATGGGTGATAAGTGGGAGATAATGGGAGATAGTATGGCAGAAATTACTTAGGGGAAGGGTGAGTGTATGGTGAGGCTGCAGTCTGCGGATGGGAGATCTGATTTTGATTCTCTGACATCAGTTTTGCAAGACCCCAGGGAAGTCACTAAGGGACTGTCTGTCTGCTGCAGGGTGCGGTGGTGTGGAGGCGTTATTCGCTGTGGGCACTCCAGCTCCACTCGGGTCTGCTTGGGAGTCCTTGGCTCGCTGTCGTTCACGTCGGCACCCGCTGTTGTGGCTGCAGCTCAGCACCCTGCTTGAGAGATTAGGTACCTGGTTTGTGTTCCCTTCCAGAGATGTCATATCCCTGTCTTGCCAGAAATAGAATAAAACCTCTTGCCCACCAGTATTGCTACATGTATTGATTTTGTGCTCCCAGAATAGTCTGCTACCCCAGGAGAGTAGCACTGCCACATAATTTGTTTAGACTAAGCAGAAACTTTCTTGCATTTTTAAGAGCTGATCTTTTATTTTTTTCTTGACACACACTTCATGTCAAAAGCACCTTCCGTCTGGATTGTGCAGAGGGGTCAGTACTATGTTACTCTATTTTCCTTATTTATTTTCTCCTTAAGGAAATACAAATCACTTGTTTAGTAATCTGATTTTATGGGTGTTATGCAGAAAATCAGCAGGAGAATCTGATTCCTTTGGTCATCCACCAGACCATCCTATCTTCTTACATCTGTTTCATTTCAGTTGAAATTGCTTATTCCTTTTCTGTATAGAAGATGGATATCGGTTCAGAAGGGTAGTTTTGCTTCTCTTATCACAGAAATGGTGATAATTTTGGCGCTTACAAAGTGCCCATCAGTGTTGTTGCTGTGGTATCTCTTTGGTCAGGCTGCATGTATGGGGCAGCTGATTCTTGTCCCCCTTCCCATCCTGTTTCAGCTGGTTTGTGGGCTGCGAGATAGAGAGCAGTTCTGGTTAAACCAAAGCCAGAGATCTTGCCTTTAATCAAGTGTCTTTGAGAGCAGGGGGATTTAGATGTGAGTCTGTAGTGCTTGTGCCTTACCCTGGCCCTGTTGGCTGGATGACAAACATGGGAATCAAAATGTTTCTTTTTCCTTTACAAACAGACACCATCACCACACCTCTGCAAACTCCCTATTTCATGTACTCCTTCTTCTTTTTTTGTTTGCTTATCAACTGTCCCTCACTGCCTAGCTTAAAATCTCGTCTAAGCCCTATTATACCACAGTATTTCCATCAGCAGGGGAGGAGAAAAAAGGAAATGCACAGCAACTGGCTTTCAGATGTAATTTTTCTCATTAACAATGGCTGTTGGCCATAAAATGACAGGTCTGAGCCCATGAGGATGTTTCTGTCCCAGCTGCTTAATCATACTGGACCAGCATTTTCTGTGATTGTACCATCATCATTAAAAGTTAAGAGCAATGCTGCTGGGGTGCTGTAGATTAGCAGGGTTTGTGTTCATGTCAAACGGACTAATAATTGTAGTTTTGAAAGTTTGTCTTGCCTGGTGATAACTTATGTGGCCCCAGAGATTTTGAGGTGGGATGGGGAAAGAAAACCAAATGCCATTCTTGGTATTGTTGCTTGTTATTTTTAAGCTCAAAATGTTTGGTTCAGGTCTATAAATGCCATGTTTTCTTAATGCTAGTTTTAGTTTAGGGGTGGGAATGCAACAAAAGTGCTACTGGCTGTGAAGAGCTAAAAGACAAAAGCTGATGCTGTAACCACACAACTGATCGCTGTTTAGTTAGTTGATGACCAGGTTATGCTTAAGCACATGCTTGTATACAGAGTTTGCTGGTTTGGAAGTGTCACGCTTATGCCTTGGAGATGGAAGAGAAATTCTGACACCCATCTCCCCTCCAAATCTGCAGCACCCAGCCTGAGGAGCTCTGGGGGTGCTGGTGGTGTGTGCCCAGGGAGTGCGTGGAGAGAGTACTTATTTGTCAGGGTAGTCCTGTGTACGTCTGTAAAAGCAAGTGCACGGCCGTGAGAACGTGTGTTGCCATAAAAATGTTCCATCATAGGCTCGTATTTTAGATTTTCCTCATGATTGTAGGGATTTGTTAAATTTATAGAAGTTTTCTGACACTCCGAGGGGCAACTGTTTGTGAAGTGGAGGATTTAAGGTTTATTTTTAAGGCATGGTGAAAGACATTGGAGTAATAAACATCACAATGGGTGAAAAACAAAGACTTGGATAAGGTGGAGTTCTGAAAAAGGCAATGGAAAGGTGTCACATTTGTATGATTTTGTTTTCATTTAATAAGGAGAAATAAAATCAAGGTTATGAGTTTGAGTATGATACTAAGTGTGTTTCAAACTTATGGGGAAAATCCAAAATGAACTGCAGTGCTGAAGGTTTGTAGTTCCACCGAGAGGGATCCCATACACCAGTCCTGAGCAGTGATATTTTTTTTTTATTATTTACTTCTGGTCTGCATCCTGTGTGCTTTCCTCACACTCACATTTTATTTTTAATTTCTTCTTCTACTGATGTTCTTTTGTTGTTCTTCCCAGGCTGTGGAGCTGCAAGGCAGGGAGGCAGAGCTGAAGCGGCAAGAGGCCTTCTATAAGGAGCAGTTGGCCCGCATTGAGAGGAAGGTATGGCTGAGCTGTCTGTTATTTGTGGCCTCTGAACGCTGATGGGAGCGAGTGCAGATCTGTGTGGATCCAAAGAGCAGAGAATCGGGAAGCATTGTGCTGAAAGCTGGAACGGGCAGCTTCCAGTATCTGTCTGCTCCCCACCCCTGACTCGGTTAAGTGATGAAAAAGCTCTACAGACCAAATCTTTTGAACAACTTCAATTTGAAAGATAAGGGTTTTTTAGCTGGATGATTTTTTAATAAAGTAATTCAAACTTTATTTTCTTTTTCACCATGGGGTTTAGGTGAAAGCTAAGTTCAAAAAAATAAGTGTCTTTTTTTTTTTTATTCCTTTTGTTAAAAATCCATTCCTAAATTAAAAAAAACCCAACCCACAAATCTTGCTATAAATATGAATTAAAGTTGTATTATTAATTTTTCTCTGGGGAGCCCAGCAGTTCAAAGGAGGGTGCTGTAGTGCATTGCCTGGTTCTTGCTGGATAAGCCTTTGAAACGAACATGATTTAAAGAGACACTGTCAAGCATCTTTTAAGCCTGAAATGACCTTTGAAAATCCATTTAGGGATTTGAATCTCTCCTCTGAACGTGGGATTTGGTTCTGTGTTTAATTGTTTACCGTGATGAGTTTTTAAAAATTGATGCCATAAAAATAGGAGCAGCCATGCTGTTCCTTATGAACTAATGCGTTTTTTCACTTCCTGGCAAAATGAAATAACGTTATAAGTAGTTTTTATTTTTTTAATAAATGTGGAGAATAATCTTCTCCAATTTGAAGCAATTAGACCTCCTGACAGGGAGTTGCATACGTCTAACTTGTAGTTGTGTTGTGTGACTAAAAGGAAGTGCAAACAATGGAAAAGGTGGGTTGTAACGAGACAGAGGAATCAGCTTTACTACCAACATGCAGCGTGGTGGTGAATATGGAACACGGCAAAACTGCAGATGATAGAAATGGTAGAAAACTGTCAGCACATCTATTCCCCTTCTCATTCCCTGCTACTGCATGATTGTCTGTGCAGCATTTTTTTTTTTTTAAGCCATTGATGGTAAAACATGCCCACGAGCAATTTTCACATGATACAATTTTGCAACACTTTAATCCATACAGTTCATTAAAAAATAAACTATTAAAACTACCACTCAGCGTTGCATTCAGATTTTTAAATTCTATTTCTAGATAATGGGGATTGTTCAGTGAAATTGCAAACAATCTAGCAGCTATCGTTCTAATTATCACAGTTGTCCATATGTTCATACGCAAAGGGAATTTTTGCAATTTCTTGGTCTCATGCTGTGTGCTTCTATTATATTCTTCTCTCCGGATCTCGTTTCATGAAGCGGAAACTGCAGGGAAAATTTGTATGTGTGTCTGTCCTTTATGGACAGTGGAGTGGGGACAAGTTTGTGTCCAGGCTGCATTGTTCTCTTTTCGAAGTCTTTTGTTGTATTTTTGCGTTTCCCTTTTCAGGTCTATGTCCCTTGCTACCGGGTAACTGTTGAAACAAGGTGATGGATATTTTAGTGCAGGATCTTCACGGGGGAGTGAGGTGACTTGCCCATAGTCCTATTCAAACTGCGGAGCAACTGTCTTCTAGCTCTTACGTGTACAAAAGCAAGTGGATAAAAAGGATAGGTTTTCTTTCCTCTCTTGAAACACTAGATAGTTTCTGACCCTTAAACACTAGCATTTTGCTGGTAATAAAATAGAGGAATGCCTCCAACCGTTAGTCTGGATTGGAGTGGGAGGTGGTGGGGGCTAGAAGGGAGAGGAGAGAAATGTACTTGAAACAGTGTAATAAAGCTTAATTGTATTAGTTTTGAAAAAGGTTTTTGATCTTCTCTGTGGATAATTTTATTCCTATAATGGTTGGAAAGATGGAAAACACAGCACAGAACAATCTTTTTTATTAGCTGTTGCTTTTATATAATTCTGCTTTTATTTGTTGAATGCACGCAGACCTTGACATTTATTTATTTATTTTCCCTTCCACTGTGCTAAAACCTTCCAACACAGGCTTAGATATATTTTTATATATCTGTGTATGTATGTGTGTGTCTGTCAGAAAAAAGCTATCGGTAAAAGGATGAGGTGGGGAGGAGCTCTGAAATAGAAGTTTGCTCTGAAACAGAAGTTTGCTTTCTCTGCCGTTTTCAGAGGGGATGGTCGCTTGGAGTGCGGTCATGGTGGATGGAAGGTGCTGTGCTGGGAGTGAACCAGTGCGAGGGCTCAGCCAGCTGATATTTCTCCTCCTAAGGAGCAGGCTGTCAGGAATTCCCCCCCTCCTCTCCTGCTGTGCCTACCTGTAGTTGGCTTTGTCCCCACTTCTGCACGACAACAGAAGTCAGCAGCAGGAGACTTAGATTGGTTTTGAGGGCTGTTTTGAACTCTTGGTGTTAAGAACTAAGTACCTTCCCGGTAGGATGCTAAAAATAATTGTTGTATGCTCCTTACAACATAGTAGCTGTTGCACTGAATCAAACACAGCGACTGTCCTGTTCCTCCTGACAGTGGTCAGTTTTCAAAGGCTTTGAAGGAAGATGCAAAAAAACCTCACCAAAAACCAAACCAAACCCCCCCACTTTTGGAGAACAACTTGGAGAAGAGTCTTCCTGAGTGTTGTCAGTTGGAGGCTGACACATGCCCTGCTGCAAAAGAGTTTATTTTCATTCAGTATTTTTATTCACTGTAATGGAACTTGGACTACTGCCATCGTTCTTCTACGTGTCTCAGGCATCTTTCTTGAAGCCTTGTTTAGCTCTTTGCCTCCAATATCACGTGGCAGTGTGTGCCACAGGTTAACTTCTATATTCTATAAATTCCCTGTTACAAGTTTCAAATAATTTTTTCTGTTTAATATCCTTTATGTGAAAGTGATAAAAGGAATTTTCTTCGTTATTCATTGTCTGTAGACTTCTGTTCCTTCTTTTACCTTCCCATTAAGCTGAGCAGTCCTCACCTTTTCAGTCTCCGCTTGTGGGAATGACTTTTTCCAGGTTTCTCATTCTACTTGCTTGTCTTTGGGCCCTTTCCCCCTTGTGGCTCTGTCTTTGAAATGTATTGACCAGAATTGAACTCAGTAGTTCCCTTGAATGCAGCAGATTGTGTGAATAACGTTAGCCTTTTATTTTGTAATCTCTGAAAGAGTACTGTAATCTACTGGACAGAGCACAGAATTGGAAGCAAAAAACTGCTCATTTTCTAATAGCTGTTTCTCTTTGGGGAGTTTGAAACAATTACTTAGTCCATCTATCTCAGTTATTCCATCTATATGATGGAATAGCTTATAATGGGAGGGCAAAATGTTGTGAAACAGCAAAGCCATAAAAATGCTAAAAAGGCTTTGCCTTTAGTTTTGCATGAGATGAACTGTGGGTGTACCTTATTTCAAACAGATTTTGTGAAACTCAGTTTCTCTAGTCAGTCATTAAAATTTTCACAGGAAAGAGCATCTATGAAAAAATAATTTCAGCTTTTGGGGTTTTCCCTACATCTTCTACTAAAGCACTGGAAGAAGTAAGATGGTGAGTGCAGCAGTGCTGTGTCACACCAAAGATCCATCGAGTTCCATACGCTGGTCCTGACTGCGACCCACGGTGGATGTCCAGGGATGAGCGTGAGATCAGGGCAGGTGTATGGGATACTTGCCCCAGATGCCTTGATCATCCTGGCCGGTTGTCTGCGAACCTTTTCCACATCTAGTTAATCCTCTCTGAGAGGTGTGAAGCAAACTGTGCACAAAGTGCTCAAGGTACGGATGGACCCTGAATTTTTATGCTAGCTGTATCAGAGTCACTGTTTGGTTCTCTGTTTCTTTGTAGTGCCTAACACTTGATTTGCACTTCTGACTTGTGTTGAGCAAATGCCACACACTACCGCTACTAGCAGCGTTCAGCTATTTTGAGTGCAGATTCGAATGCATGAAGTAGCTGTACTGGGATTAAACCGGTGCTGTGATTTGTTGTTGGGAGCCATTCTTCCCACTGCCTCCTTCGTGATCAGCTTGTCAGGGGTGGGGTGTGTGTGAAGGGGCGGTAGGTTTTGTTGACCTATTTTTTTATAGGTTTTGTTATTATTTTCACCAAATATTCTGTAAGGAAAACCTTAGAAACAGTCAATTTGAGAAGCTTAAGATGATGTTTTTTCATGCATTTATATGTTACTGAGAGGGAGGGAGGGAGCTTAGTATAAATAGTTATCGTATATACTGCTCAGAACTGGGGGTTTTATGAAGGAGTCCATGTATGCATTGTCCTGCTTTCTCCACATGGTAGAAGCATCCTTTAAAAAGTAAGATAAGAAAGGCAGGCAGTCTTTCCTGGAGCCCTTCCGATGCCAGGAGGTTTCACTTAGCATATTAATTGTATACTTTCTCCCAAGTAATGTTTGACTCCTTTCGCTATTTGGCCTCTTGCTGGGTTTAACCTGACAAAGGCCAAGGGCAGTGCTATGGTATGGCACAACACGGGCAGCTCTTCTGAACAGTCTAAAGGCAGAGAAAGGCTGAAGGTAATCTCGGCAGATGAAGTCAAACTCCTGGCTATAGATGATGTCTCCTCTTTGTTCGGATTTTCCTAAGCTCTGGCTCCTGCGTTATCTTTTATTGGGTGGCTGTGGACTACTGTGAGCATGGGTACATTAATATGCAATGTTTTTCTGCTTGTAGTTTTTCAGAACAGTAAGTATTAGCACAAGAGGTATTCATAAGCTGTAGAGTATTTATGCAAGTGGGAAAGGAATGCATTAAACCAATACTTTTTTTTATTAATAAGGTAGACTGAATCTCTTTCTCTCCTTAGCTTCACAAATCTTGTAATTTTGTGTGTGGCATTCACCTTGCTTGGTTTGTTTAAATGAATCTCCTTTTGCCCTTGCATTTACCATTTAATTCATGTTTGTAAAGCATTTAGAATGCATAAAGAATGGCAAGCAAACTTATTTTTGGTTGTTATTCTTACTGGCCTTGATTCTTCTTCTTGGAGCAATCTCCCACTTCTGGT